TTTGATATGGCCCGTGTTCAGTGACCTTTGTTATGTCTGTTACCCCAGTAATTCCTCTGCCTACTTGTCCGCTAAGTACCTTGAGTTCCAGTTAGTGTATGGTCTTGTGTTTTGCATCTATTAGTCTGATTTCCCCTGCTGTCACTCTACCTGTCTGTGTGCTTGATTAGTCCCTCATGTCTTTCACCTGTGGATCCCCCTCCCAGTTTGTTAACCCATGTGTGTGTGTATATGTGTGTACATGTCTGTGTCCGGTCATTGTAGCATGTATAGCTTTGTGCTTGTCTCGTCTCTGTTTTGGATCTGTACCCGTTACCTGTTTCATTTGGATTTTTTATTCTTTGGATGTGTCTCAGCCACTCTGCCAGTAAGTGTGCTCGCCTTTGTTTGCCACAATAAACCTTTTTGAACTGTACCTGCTACGCTCTGCATCCTGCATTTGGGTCCACGATCATGCACAACCTTCCCTACACACCAAACCCTGACAATTCTCTGCACAGCTTTTCCATACAAAAAAAAGAGATTAAGATTGCTTTGTCCGTTGACCAGGGGTAAAGTTCATGACCACATTTAAAAATGAGACAATAAAATGTTAGAGACTGATAATACTGACCAGCTTTGCTACTCAGAAGACGTGCATATCCTATCAACCACAACCTCCCACACACCTCAACAGTGCTGCTCTCACTCAACACTTACAAACTAGTAGAATGAATTTTTATTTTCACACGATACTAATTTTGTGTGTCTTTAATTATTGAACATTTTTCTAATTCATGGATTTTTTAGGAAGCTGTAACACAAAATGTATAATTGATTAGCAATACTGACAACAGACAACTTGATCCAATCATGCTTTTGGGTTTTGAAAATTATTCCTTCTGAAATCAGTAATTCCATTTTAGGCCTTACAAGCACTTCTTTCAGCATAAATATATATATATATATATATATATATATATATATAGTGAAGTATACTAAGTGTGTGTGTATATATATATATATACTTAGTATACTTCACTCACTGTATTCACAGCGAGAATGACAACTTCCCAGCACATAAACTGAATTAGTTCTAATTCTGAAGTTTTAAAGTCATTATGTATAAGATACTTGTGCATTCTAATAGCTGTAAAATGTTATCTTTAACTACAGGATCCAAACTCATTTTCATGCACATTTTTAAAGCTTTTGAATATCCTCCATATCAGTAATAGCTTTTCGGAAAGCCAAGCTGTAGTGGACTCTTTTCAACTGATGTGACAAAGGGGCTCTAATTCAGCGTCAGGGTCTGTCAGGATCATTATTTCTTTATAATTATATTGTTATTTTTTTCAGTGTAGTCTTTTTTTATATTTACTTTATATTAAATAACTAAATTTCTGTAATCACTTGAAAAGGTTTTATTTTTACATTCAAAACCTTGCACTCTTCAAATTTTTATCAAGGATAGGCAGAACACTAAGGTCACGCTATGGTAACCCTAGTTTTATAAAGCCCTCCACTGCACTCTATGGGTACTACTTCCTCCAATCACATGCACGCACTAGCCCACTAAAATTTAGTCGACCAATAGGACATCACTACCGATACGTGCTTGACATATAAATAGCAGTGTCCCTACTGCCTCAGCATCCGACCACTGCTTCAGCAGACAGTGTAGGAGTGGCAGGGCTGATCAGTTGAGGGCTTCGCCTGTGCTTGTCTAATCTGAGCCCTTATGTCCCCACCACTTCACAGCACAAAGTGACGCCCCATAAGCAAACTTCTGAAATGTTTTGAAATGAACTCGTTGTTCTGCATGAAAGGTTATGATTATGACCAAGTTAATACTTAGCATTCACAAATCAGAGACTAACAACCATGTAGAGCATTTTTCTTGTTACACTTTAACTTTTTCCACTTTAAACACTGATGGCACTGACTGGCACCAATAGCAACACTAAACTCTAATCTTTTATTTATTGATTTATGGCTGGCATGGTCAAAGTAGGGAGTGAGACTGTGTTGCAAGGTACAGTAAATTGAGTCAAGATACACAGAAAAAATACAGAGGACCTGACCTCAATGGTCGGTACGGCCCGGGTTTTAACACAGGTCTGGTGTACACATTTCAGCTTTCAAATGTTTTTTCAGGATCAAGTCAAGCCTAATAAGGCTGACGTTAACTGAGAAATATTTAATAATCAGCTCTCTTCAAATCTCAGAAAAATATACATACTTACATATATATATATATATAATACAAGTATGCCATGTCTATATATATATATATATATATATATATATATATATATATATATATATATTCATTTATATATACATGTCCTCTTTCAAACTGTAAACTCTGATGTGAATCCACCAAAAACAACTGAGGGAATTTTTGATTACTAAAGCAGCAAAACCTATGCAATCCCTTTTTCCAAGAAGATCGAAAAGTGAAAAGATTTAAAAATGTATTGGGGATGCCTTCAGTAGTGTAATTTAAGTAATTCATTGACTGCCAAAACATTACTTGCTACTGTAGCTTGTCAAACACCCACAGGGCTTGTTTGTATCTAATGATCTGACAATCTTACGCTTGTCAGAGGCTCTAAACTGCTAGAAACAAACACATTTATGTTTTGAAAGCCAAGTGTATAATAGTAGTATAATAATAGTATAATAGTAGAACCTCCAAAAAACAAGCCTGAAGTGTTTCAACCCATAGTTTTCAGATAATCATTGTCAAAAGATCCATTGCAGAATTAAACAAACATGTGATTTTCACTAAAGGCTTTGGCACTTCTTCAGCTTTTAGGGTTGGTCACATGGAGAAGTTTTCTTCTTTTTTTTTTTTTGTATGTTGCATATTGGGCATGTTGTATGTTACTGGTTTGTGAGGTGTTTTAAATAAACCAAAAAAAAAGCATTGGCTACTTGCCTTATAAATTGTAGTTAATATGTTACCAAACAGTTGCTTTTTACACATCCAGCAGACATGGAGCAAAATTAGGATTTGTTTGGAGTCCTTACTGCGGCTAACGTAGTTAATGTGTGTAATGTTTACTTTCGGTTTACTTCTCTGTTCAGGCTCCACCAACTCCTGACTGAAATACCTGGCTCTTTAACTGCTAGATGCTTTGTTAAGTGCACCAGCTAGTCGCTAACTTTGTGCAATACAAAATAGGATTTTGTCATTTGCATTTTATATGGTTACAGTTTTTCTTGTTTGCCTTAAACACATTTCTGGAAATTATGCCTCTTTTTCTCAAAACTGTAAACACAAATCCACAACTTCTCAAAAATCCTTTTTACGAAGTCAAAATGAAGCTCTCCACTCAAAACCATTCAATCTTGCTGAAAATCAAATTTGCCCTCAGACATATACACACAAGCCTTCAAACACACACACTACAACACAGTCTTAAACACTGGTGAGATCAATTCAAAACAATACTACAAAAACTGATTATAAGTAACCTTGCTTGTGATTCTCCCTCTCAAAAACATTTTCATATGATGAGCACAAAAGAAATAACAAATATACATTTGCACACATTTTTTATTCTTTAGTGCACTGTACAGTACAACACACCAAACAACAAATTATTCTGCCTCAGGGTCCTATCTTTGGTCTGGGACAGGGCAGAGATTCTTGTTCTACACATCCATTTCCACCTACCCTCATCCCTCCACCTCCTTCTTGTGTCCTTCTGGTGTTTCTGCCATTGCTTTATGTCATTACACCACGGTTATACTGTCCAATCATGCGCAGGAGACGCTGGTGCCAACAGGAAGTAGCCCTGTAGTAGTATTTTATTGGTTCAAAACTGGCTTCAAATCAGCAGGGTAGCTTTGTCCAGTAATATACTGTCTATGATCTCATCTCCTCCTCCAACTCCTATTGTTCCTTTTCCTTCACCTCTTACTCCTCACCATACTGCGTTTCCTCCTCCTCCTCTTCTTGCTCTTCCTCCTCTCTGGTGTCCTCAACCTTTTCCTTCAGGTTTCTCTGGATCCATTGTTCCAAAACTGAGTGAACTGACTCCGGCACTTTTATAAATCTGTTGAAGCTTCTGATTGGTGTGTTATCAATTTTGACTCTTTGTGTTTCCACCTGGGTAGCTGTGTGCTAATTGAGCTCAACCTGTGCTTATTGAGTGAACAATATCGAATGTCAGTGCTTTCTCCATGACCAATTAGAAATGGCAATTAGAAATGAAGGGATTTGTGTGTAGAGTTTAGAAAAATGGGTGTGCTTTTTGAAAAATGGAGTTGTGGTTTTGAAATTTTAGTTCAAAAGCTTGGTTGTAGTGTTTAAACAATGGAGAAAAACTGTAATGAAAATTGCTTCATATTTTCGAAAAACTGTAAAATGCTTTATATGCTTTTTTTTAATATACTTTACAAATGCTGCCTATGATTGGTGCCTACTCAGTAATTTGCCCAGATGGGTTAAGATCAGAACAGAAAATTAAAACAGACCTGAAAACAAAGTCAAATTGAGAAACCTGTAGGTTGCCAGCTTTCCATTCCACTTTTAGCATAAATTGCTATAATTCGCCCTGTTAAGTTTTGATGTTCGTTTTAGTTGACTGGGTTATATAGTTCCAATAGATCCAACTTATTTTGATACATTTAAATTAGGGTATTTTCCATCTTATTTTTAAACACATCTTGATGTATGGTCGCCCATCCCTGCAGTTAGCAAGTCCTTTATGTGAAAACATAGGCCTAAACAATGACAGAGGATACACTGACAGCATCCACTGGACCTCCCCTGCTGGTAACTACTTTTGAGTTTTAAAATGTATAGCAGGTTTCAGAACCTGGATTCTCTTCTTCTTCAGAGCCCCAGATAGAGCCACCCCCTCCTCTCTCTCTCTCCCTCTCCCTCCCACCCTCTCTGGGCGCAGCACCTGTATTGCTGCTGCTCGTGCGTCAGATGATGGCAACAGTCTTCAGACCTTTCTCTTTGCCGAACTGGCTGCAGATCGAGTCGACCTTGCGAAGCGACCACAGGTTCTCATCCTGCTGCCGCTTCTGCACGATCTGCGTTTATCACACTGCACCGCGCGCGAACAAACTTTTGTGTTATAAATTGGACAAGCAGCCGAGAGGAGCCTATCTCCGCTCCCTTTCTGCCGCCCGCGTGATTTTCACTAAAAAACTTCCAAGAGGTACCATGCAAGTTTATTTGGCTGTGATATTCGCGTATGGTGTGTCAGGTAAGCTCAGCAACTTCTCTTTTAGACGAAACGACTTAGTTGTAGCTCAATCATTGCCTTTCAAATGCTATCGCTCACAATTTGTCAATCATATCGGCTCTGATTGCACAAATTTAATAAGACAATCGGTACACGTCAGCCTTGACGTTATCAGAGTCACTACATCTGAAATCTTCACCTATAACTAAAAGACAGATAAAAACGCGACGAGCTTTTAAGAGGGTTTTTATCGAACGGGATGCCACTGCATCAGTAGGACCTCCCGAAAATAATGATTTTGCAGTTTAAACCTTGTATTGGTTTTTTAAATCGCTTTATTAACGTTTTGGAGGCAATGTTCCACCCACAGTAACTGCCTGAATATTGTTATCTGGAAGTGTAATAGACTGTAATCAGTACGTTCTGTTATGAGATAGCCTATCTTCAGTTACAAACCCGATTTTAACAGACAGCAGTCCTGTTTCACACTGATGTGAAGCAAACTAGGGCTGAAGATCTTTGTGTTTTTTGCATTGTGCGTGAGGTTACTCAGTAGTGATGGGGATCTAATGTCTTGTAGAATTCTTGCCTTTTTTATGCACTTTAAGAACCATTGCAGCGAATGAGGCGTGTAACAGCCTCCATCACTACTGTAATCTGTGAGCCTTTATCACCCACTGTCCAGTAGTTATGTGTGCATGCTGAATTAAGGGCAAGTGCAGGGTTACAGGAACTAGTTCAGCCTTGAGGAATGAATGTATCCCCGCACTGAATTCAAACTGCCAATGTTGTACTGACTAAAAAAGACAGCAGTTCTTCACTTGGGCAGAATCCCCTTAACAATAACCTGTCAGGTGAAGATATTACTTTCACTCCATAGCGCATTGGAGCTTTAATCCACTGTCTGTATTTTGTCTTAATCAATCAATGTTTTGCATTTCAGCTGTAAAACAAAAGTGTGCACAACAATTGACTTAATTTGCTGAGAAGGACAGTTGCTAAGCTGATCCACTGCAATGATGAAGGGTAAATAGACTAGAAAATGTTTGGTGCACTGGAATTTGATGTTTGCTTTAGACATCTTCAGTGGTAATTGAATTCTTTAGCTTGGCTGTAAGACCAATTTAACTTGCATTGGAGTTTTGTCAGTAAGTGGAGTTTGGCTGTAAAACAGGCAGCCTTCGTCAACACATTGATACTGCTTATACACTCATGATAGTGTAAGGCACTGGTCAAGACAGGAGTTGTATGACTCTGTACATGTAAACCTTGTGAAAAAAGGAAGCAACCAGTAAAGAATCTCTTCATGTTATCACAGTCAACAATGATAGGCTACAGTTCACAAGCCCACAGAGTAACGCCCGAAAGACCCTAATTCACAGTCCGTCTGCCATCCAGCTTTGTTGAGCCATCGCTGAGCATTTGTGGCTAACCATTGCCTGTGGATTTTGCGATGCGCCTGGCACTGCTGGCTTTAGTTGGACCTTATCAGCTTCTGTTTGGCTGACTCAGCACTGAATCAGCTGTGGAGGCAGTGAGTGAGAGAGCTATATGAGTGGCTGTTTTTCCTAGCAAATCATTGTTTGCGCCCATTTAGTGTGCTTTCTCTTTATACTTACAATATTCCTTTTCTCTCCACAAGCAAAAGGCCACTGGCTGACAGTCTAAGCAAACTTGACAGTGTCGGGTTGATTATTTTATCGGACACATAATTCTTATTCTTATTTTATATTTATATTTCAAGAAAGACAGATAACTAGTGGTGTGAAAAAAAATAATATTTATGGCCAATCTTCTATTCTATGAACACTTCCATGAGGACAATGAACTGTACTAGAATCATTTGTTTTGTTTGTCTTTCCATAATGTTTGCTACAGTGCAGGACATAAAACATGAAACCTGAACTTGCAAGTTCAGCATTTTGCTGTCTTAGGTGGACTGGATATTCATGTGCTGTATGGGAATGGTCTGCACAGTATGTTTTTAATTTGTAATATTTGTAATTTGTAGAAAAGTCCAATGCCCATTGCTGCATGATCATCCAAGACATCTCTTTTTGATTTCTAGTTTTATAACTTTATGGTCTCTTCTGCCAACTCTGACAGTGCCCACTAGCTGGTTGGGTGGTTGACAGTGGACGTCTTCATGGCAGTGTCTTTTCCTGCTTTTTGTATTGTGTATCATACAATTTAACACAATTATCTAATTAACACATTAGAGGATGCCTAGTTCTAAAAGGAATTTAATATTGCCAAGTATTTACAAGTTTAAACTCCAGGGAATGGTGATTTATTTGACATTTGTTTTAGAAAACAGAAATCGTACAACATCCTCCCATCTGGGTTGGAGACAGAATTGCCATGGAGTGATGCATTAGTATGGCTCCTGCCTGGTGGGAATTTCACAGTTAAGTGCCAGCACTTAACTGTACCTTCACCATTGTAAATACGATGCATGTCTAAAGCAAAACAAAGCCAATAATGGAAGCAGATCTCTTGTGCTTTGATTGAAAACCATATTATTTGAGAATTGTTTGCTGCACATATAAACAAATAGTCAGAGCTTTTCATAGAAACCACTGCCATCAGAATTCAATTCAATGTATTATTTCATAGGTAAATTGTGATTTATGTGAGAAACGTTAAATGGTGTAACACATTTCACTTATCTTACCTCCTCTATACTTACTTTTTCTGCTTCAGTTAGATTTTCTATATTTCCCAGAATGTCTTTTAAGAGTGGGGGTAAAAAGATTTAGATTTGGTTTATAAATGACCAATGTTGTAAACCTTTAGTGATGTGCAAAACAACAAAAAATAAAAGCATATTTGTGAATATTCTTTTTAAGAGAGAGAAGTTGTGTTTCTTATTTAAAAGTATATGTTATGTGACCTCAAGTTCTTACGGAAAATGAGAACGGAAAAGTTATTTTGTTAAGCAGGACAAATATTTTCTATTAAAACTAGTAATTTTAATATGTTGTTCCGCTTTCAGCATTCAGAAATATATTACTGAAGTGCTTTTATCGCATAACTTTACAACTAATAATAAGTAAACTAAAAGTTATGTGTGAAATCTTAAGCCAGTGCATACACCGCTGTCCTTGGACACATGGGTAGTTGGGAAAAAAAGCTGAAAGTAACTTGGCATAGCTTTCTTCACTTTTTGATCTATTGTGCTTTAAGGCGTGGCTGATCACGCTGAGTGATAATTATATTTTATAATATGATAATAATAATATTTAATAATATGTAAATGTAATACCTACATACTTTTCATTAGCTATCTCCTGAGACATTGGTCAAAATGACTGTGGCTGCACAACATAATGGACTGTTAGAGATGCTGGAGATGATTTTCTTGTGTTTTAGCTGTAAACAGGATGTTAGGACCAGAGGTCTTGATGTGAAATTGTAAGATAGATGTGGAGTTTTTACATGATGGAAGGTGGGTTGTCTTAAAACCTGTGATTGATTGATCATTTTACAGATAATGAAAAGTGTGTGATTTTGATGTAAAATACTCAGAAATGCTCTTTTTTTTTCTTTTTTTTTACAGAGACAGTACGTCATATGGTAATACATAGCATGAAACACATAGCATAACTGAAGGCACCATTAAACCGCACAGAAAAGTTAGTTATGATTTAATGGGGCCCTAAACTCTCAAATTTTCTTCAGGATTTTACTTACATCTTCATTGGAAAGAGCTGTTATTCAGAGAGGTCAAATGCAGCAATAAGACGTTTCAAGTGAGAAGCAGGTCACACAGTCTTTCAGGGCCTGACAGGATGCTAAATTTTTTATTAGCTTTGAATAAATGTTGTATAATGAACATTTATATTTATGTTGCAAAAGTCGAATAAAAAATTATTAAATCAGCAAATACTTTTACTGCACAATTTCGTCTGGTGTTTACTATAGACAGAAGATTGATACCTTCTAATTAAATTATTGATATTTTCAAATTACTAATGTTATTAACTCAAAAAACATGTCACTAATCAGCTCTGTGTGTACTGAAGCGTCCCAAGCTCTTTGTGACTGCTTCTTGATACCTCTTCTCTATGTTTGGAAGCCCAGTACACGTATATTGAATACATCACAATTATGCTTACAAAGTACTTTACAAAGATGCAGAATACATTTTAAAAACTAGGGATGGCTGGATAAGAGAGCTCTTGTTGGGACATAATGCCATGGTAAATCAATGATTTAACATGAAGATGAACTGTCAAGTCCCTTGTAGGTGATGGGAAAAAGTATTTTCTTAATTGGATCTCAGTGCAGGTTTGGCAGTATAGGTCAAATGTGTAATCAGCTACCTCGTCATTGGCCTGTCTGCTGTATTTTGAACCAGAGTACTCACTATGGTAGATGAGTGAAAAATTCAACAAAAAAAAGGCAGGATGAAATGAATAATTTTATCTCCCAGGCATTCAGCGTGAGGTCTGTTTTTTCTACATTTACCACATTTGTCAGGCTGTGCCATTTGTTTTATGTCTCTATAATTTAGACTCTATTGTTAAGTACAACAGTAGCCACACAAGACTGATGATGAAGGAAACAAAGCAACTTAACTTGGATTGCACAAAGAACAGCTCCCTCAAGTGCTGACAGAGTCCAGTGACATGGGTTTGGATAAAAGCTTCCTTAATGAGAAGCACGGACGCCACATGTTTACTGACATCTTTGTCAAGGGCTCTCAATATGTCTCTGCTAAAAATGAGTGGCAAACATTTTGCGTTCACAATCATATTCTTGGATTTTCTGCTTTGTTTATAGCACTCAATATCACAGACGAGAAGGCATCATGCCCCCTTGGATATTTCCCCTGTGGCAACCTGACCGTGTGCCTTCCACAGCTCCTGCACTGCAACGGCATCGATGATTGTGGAAATCAAGCAGATGAGGAGAACTGTGGTGAGTCATTGTTTCTACTTGAACAAATATTAATATGACCATGTGCTGTATAACCTCAGGCACATCACATCTTTGACCTTTTTGAGAATTAATTAAGTAATGCCATACTGCAGACCAGAAAACAAAGTGATGTTTCCTTGAAAGTATGTAACTATGGTTTCACTAGCAAAGACAACATTATAAAATAAAAAGATTTCTTTCTTAAAATGCCAGGTAAGGTTTGATGAATGATGACCAGGGATGAGGATGAATGAGGACCAGATGATTGAATGGGAGCTCATTGAATGGGAGCTGATGATACTATGTGTGTGGGTTTGTGGGGAAACACGGGGAGTGGGACTCAGCATGGAGGCATGTCTCATTGAGGCTTTGTGGCTGCACCTTTGGTTCCTGAAATGAGAGGGAAGGACAATAAACAGGGAAGTAAGGCGGGGAGAAGTTGCTTATTGAGTTTAATTCACTACCACAAAATGTATTTATAGCCATCAAGGCAACATGTCCTGCTAGGCATAAAAAACATGTATTTGATAAACTACACATAAAGAGAGGTAGCTATCAGCACAGTTTATACTGATGAGTATTTGAATGGGCTGATTTACTTCTGCACAGGTCCAGTTTTGCAAACCCATAGCTGCCCTGTACCTTCAAAGCTTAACAGACCCGACCCAGCCTGTACCAAAGAATAGATAGAAGGTTGTTGGTGTAAGCAGTGTCAGGATACTGTAAGGGCACGCAACAACCTGGTGAAATAAACAAATTTTTAAAACAGCATAGTAAAACATGCAGATTGTGTAATTCATGTTTTCAATGGATTATGTTCACTTGTGATTCTGTCATTTCAGTATAACTCATTGGTTGAGGCTTGTACTCTAATACCTTCAAAGTCCTGTGTATTTTATGCACAGTGTAAAGACCTTTGTTAATTATTTAACTCATATGCCACGGCACAAGGATTTAACATCAAATTACCTTATGTCCTTTATTATATAAATATTTTAGTCTCTTATATAATTTGGTAAAGAGGTATATATCAATTACTGCAACACTGTACATTACTTTAATTTCTATTTCTGTTTTCCTTTTGTCTCTCCCATTCATTTTACCATTCACTAATTTTACCTATAAATTTATTTTTTACCCTTTATGCAGGTTATTGAAGTAACCACAACTCTCTCAAGTCACTCTTGTTCAGTATAGATACAGAATAAATCTATGAAGGATAGAGTTTCCTACCAGGCATTTTGCAGAGAAATATAGAGAAAGTTGTTATTTGGTCTTACATTACAAGACATGTTGGATATTTTACAAGCATGGACTAGGTAAAGCAACAGTGAACAATTAACACACAGTTGCAGAGGTCATTTGGTACCATGTTGGTTTCAATTGGCCACATTAATAAGCCTCCTTTACATGCCACGCACCTGCTGCTGAAAATGAAAGACTTTATAAAACATACTGCTGCAGTAGAAAGTCAGAGCAGACACATACAGGGAGAGAGAAACTGAAATAGGTGGGGCTAGACTGACTAAAAAAAAGGTGGAGAATGATGTAAAATTAAAAATTGTGAAATAAGAAATAGACATAAGCCCTGCTAATACCCCACCCCCACCCACCTGGCTGACACCATCACAGTTGCACTCATTCACTTAAAGTCATTTTGTGGGAAATAATGAATCTTGGGCAAAAATAAATCATTATGTTATTACAGGTAATGCAGCTGTGTGATTCAGGGACATGACAGAGTTATTGTTAACAAAATAAAATACAATTTCAATCCAACAAATCCTACATATTATAAATAACACTTAAAATGTATAACCTCTTCATGTTGAAGCCTCCTCAACTCTGCTGAACCGCAGTTTGTGAAAACAGGCTTATGCATGAGTGATTTCCTGAATTTATCTTGAGGAGACAATCATCAATCTTGACTCCTGTGCTGAAACAGGTGCAGCTTATAAAACAGCTGTCAAATTATAATAAATGACAGTTATGAATTCCTCTGACTTCCGTTCATTCCCCAGGCTCGATTTAGTCATCCCTCAAGAAGGATTGTGAGCTGGTGTCAGCTTTGTGTCCTGTAAGTGCAGGTGGTTTATGTAGTTATGTAAGTTAAAACCATTTCACTGACTTTTATATTAACAGAAAAAAAGACATATTTAACAGTATGACATCACAAATATGATATATAAATGTAAATATGATAGTACATTGCTGCTTACACAGTTACAGAAACCTTACTCAGTAGTCAACGGCCCTCTTGTCCCTCTTAGAGGTGTACTTACCTGTAATAGACTGGGAACTGTGTATCACTGAGTGTTGATTGTCTAAAAACACAGTTCTTAAATCCAGTTGCAGGCAAAGCTGTAGTTACGCTCCCATGCAGAGAGGAGAAAAACACTTCACATAGTTCTTTCATCATCCTGTGGCATGAATCTTAACCTATGTAACACTCTCCAAATTAAACTCTTTACTGTCTTGTGAAAAAAGCTGCCCAGTGACAGAATTATACTGAAGCTCTTGTAGAAAAAAATAGGGGAAACATAATGAATTAGTGGATGGTGGAAGCAAATCAATGTGCTGCAGCTGGCTATAGCAAAACAGCAACAATTGTGAATGTGACAGAACAAACCTTTTGGGGGAAAGGCTGAAAGCTGCCAATGTCCTCATATTTAATGAAGGATTATAGACGTTATCTCTGACCTTGTGTTGATCTCTGCTGTTGACCTAGACATTGCAACCAAATCCTCAATATTTCCCCACAATTCACACACCACCTGAACTTTAAAGCTGCACAACTTACTTTTTTATATTAATAATAGAAAAAATGATTTGTGTAATGTGAAAGGGGGAATTCATTGTGATGAACCCACAGATAATTATCAACCGACCCATTATTTCCCCACAGCTTTACAGAGCGGTTTAGCATCTTTCAGCCAAGCGGAAACCTCTGGGTCTGAAAAGTAAAGCCAATGTAGAAGTGCCTTAAACCTGCATTCGTTATAATAACTAGCAGGGGGCGACTCCAGTGGTTGCAAAAGGAAATCTGTTTCCACTACAAATAATGGCAAAATGACCCTGCTTCTCCCTTGATTTATAACCTCAGTAAACACTTTCCAGATCAGTTTATGATCTCAAACGTTTCAAGTCTTCTTCAATACAGCATGAATTTGTAAATTATGGTTCCATTTAAAGGAAAAGAGACCACAAAGCAGGGTATGCTTTAGGTCGGGACTACCTTGTGAGTGACAAGTCGCGCAAGTGTGCAATGTGTCTGGTACCACATCCATTTCTTTTATACGTTCAATGCTCTCAGCTCCTAGTTTTGTTTTAGGTTCTGCAATTTTACTGTTTTGATTTACTATCATGGCTCTCATCAACATCATTTCCAGACAAATGTTTTCAGGAGGGAAAAGCTCAAAAAACGCACTGTAAACCATCTGTTGAGCACCAAATGGCAGACAACTAGCTGGTAAACTGCTGGAGCATTTAGCGGCTAAAGAGCCACATATTTTTCTCAGGAGTTGGGGGGTAACGAAACAGAGCTAAAAGGAGAGTGAATATTGGACTTTCATTTATCAGAGGGAAATAAACATGATGTAAAATTAATGCTAATGCTGCTTTATATCTATCTATTCAGTCATACAACACATTTTACTCTAACCTTTATAAGGAAGATTTGGCACCTGTTATGTGGAAGTTCAGTCAGTGTTGATGGTAAATATAGTCCATTGAAGAAATAAATTCCTCAGTGTGTGTTATATTGACAGAGAAAGCAGTGTTCTCCTGCTCGCTGAGCCATGCCAGCAGTGCCTACATGTATCCGGTGCATTGTGTGCGAGCTTTTGACGCCCACATCCATTCAGCAGTCCATTACAGCTGTGAGCAAGCTAGCTGCTGGTTGTTAATCAAAGTTACATACCATTGTCAACCATTGTCAAAAGAAACAGTTAACAGAATTAGGGGAGGGTGATATGGCCCTAATCTGATCTGTGATAATGATATTCTTGACTAAATGACAAAATACTGAAAAATATTTTTGGGTTTAGACCTCACAATAGCTGTTGAGCTCTCCTTGTGGAATTTTTGTCTCTCCTCGCTCTCACCCGGACGCTTCTGCTTGCGGTGGTGAAATTAGTTTGTTGTATTTTCCTCCTTCATCATTACAGTCGTCTTGTACTTCTTACATTGTTACCATGGTTTGTTGTGCATCTGATCTTTTGTAACCAAACCACATTACTGAAGTCGTTCCCTTTTTTGGAACTAACTTTTCTGACATGCAGCCGGTAGCAATGTTATTATCACTTTCAGCCATGCTTGTAGTTGCAGTGTGTAACGGTATCACGACACAAATATACTGTTTTACTATTTCCTTTTTTAAGCAGCACTGGTTGCTCCCTCACAGCATGTCTGTCAAATTTGAGTTATGTTCTTGTTTTAGTTTCACACGGGGAGGACATGCAAACTCCACACAGAAAGCCCGGGGCAACAGGGGTTTGAACCCACGACCCTCTTGCTGTGAGGTGACAGTGCTAACCACTGCCCCACCTCGCTGTCTGGGCAGATCAAATGTCAACAAATATTTCTTGAAATGAGTAATTGGAGATGAACAATTGTAGCTATACCTACAGGTTTTTCATATCAGCCTCTAACTCTAGACCTTTTGGATATATTACTCTTGTCAGGGGGAACACGTTGCTAACCTTAAAGTTTGAAGGTCCCTGATAAAATCCTCTTGGGGCATTTAGACTGACAATCCCTTTTCAAGCTTCCCTGACCAACAAAGCCCCTAATTCCCTCTGGACAAGTGTTAAGGTTAAATGCATCAATCTCTTAAAGAATTTGAGGAATTAGGTATTTTTGCACTGCTCCTGCCAAAGCCACTGCCCCAGACTAAAATAAAATGTTGAATTGTTTTTGACTCTATCTTTCAGGCAAACAGATTTATCAAGCTACATTTTGGAGTCTGATTGAGCCAGCAGGTTTTAGAAACAGAGAGAGCA